CCATCGTCATCGTCAACGGCATCGTCGTCGTCATCGTCATCATCTTCGTCATCGCCATCGTCGTCGTCGGCTTTATCGACTTCGCCTTCGTCGCCGTCATCGTCACCATCGCCGTCAACATAATCATTATCGTCATCGACATCGGCATCGCCGTCATCGTCATCGTCGCCATGGTACCACAGAGGGATCATTGATATCAAACCCAAGAACCGTCAGAACCGACGACGTGGACTCACCAGGAAAAAATGAAAGGGGGAGTCGCAAAACTGACGGAAACACCTCCCTCACCACTAAGAGAGGGTCACAAAAACTGACGACCGCCACCTGGGGAACTGCGGGGATATTGCAGCGAAGAGGAGGGGTTGGGAATTCTGACGACGGCACGGCCGTCCGACCCGTTAGCCCCCCTTTGCCGACAATGAACCGAGGACGGCGCAGCCAGAAAACCCGTTGGTCGCTTTCTATGGGAGTCGCGCTAGCGTCATCATGATGGTCATCGTCATAATCGTCGTCGGCTTCGTCGACTTCGTCTTCGTCGTCGTCATCGTCATCATCGCCATCGTCACAGTCATCATCGCCATCGTCATCGTCTCAATCGTCATCGTCGACATCGTCATTGCAATCGTCGTCATCATCGTCGTCATCTCCGTCGTCGTCGTCATCGTCATCGTCATCCTCGTCGTCGCCATCGTCATCATTGTCGTCAGCATCGTCATAGTCATCATCGTCGTAGTCGTGGTCATCGTCATCGTCGTCGGCATGGTCATCGTCGTCAACGTCTTGGTCGACTTCGTCTTCGTCGTCGTCATCGCCATCCTCGTCGTCAGGATCGTCATCATTGTCGTCGTCATCACCATCATCGTCGTAGTAGTCGGCGGTATCGTCATCGTCGTCATCAGCATCACCAGGATGGTCGTCGGCATCGTCGTCGTCATCGTCATCGTCGTCGTCGTCTTCATCATCATCACCGTCGTCGTCGTCATCGTCATTATTGTCATCTTCGTCGTCGTCACCGCCATCCTCGTCGTCGTGATCGTCATCGTCGTCGTCGTCCTCGTCGTCGCCCTCATCGTCATCATCATCGTCGTCATCGTCGTCGTCATCGTCATCGTCGCCATCGTCATCATCGTCGTCGTCATCGTCATCATCGTCATCGACTTCGTCGACTTCGTCTTCGTCGGCGTCGTCATCGTCATCATCGTCGTCACGGTCATCAGCGCCGTCGTCACCGTCATCAATGTCGTCGGTATCGTCATCATCATCGTAGTCATCGTCGTCATCGTCATCATCAGCATCGGCATCGCCCTCATTGTCACGGTCATCGTCGTCGTCGTCATCGTCATCGTCGTCATCGTCATCACCGTCGTCGTCATCACCATCATCATCACCATCGTCGTCGTCATCGTCGTCATCGTCGTCATCGTCATCGTCGTCGCCGTCGTCGGCATCTTCATCATCGGCGTCGCCGTCCCCGTCGTCGTCGTCATCGTCATCGCGGTCATCGTCATCATCGTCGTCATCGGCATCATCGTCGTCGTCGCGATCGTCATCGTCGCCGCCGTCATCGACATTGTCATCGACATTGTCAGAATCGTCTTCATCAAAAATGTGCCTTCGTCGTCGGCATCGTCACCTTCATCATCGTTATCGTCACGGTCATCATTGCTGACGTCATCGTCAGCGTCCTCGTCGTTGTCGCCATCATCGTCATCGTCATCGTCGACATCATCGTCGTCGTCAATGTCGTCGTCATCGCCATCGTCATCGTCATCGGCGTCGTCGTCATCGTCATCATTGCCGTCGTCATCGTCGGCGTCGTCGTCATCGTCATCGTCGTCATCGTCGTCATCGTCATCATCGTCAGCGTCATCATCGTCGTCATCGTCATCATCGTCTTCGTCGCTGCCGTCGTCGTCGTCGCGGTCATCCTCATCGTCGTCATCGTCATCCTCATCGTCGTCGTCATCATCGTCGTCGCCATCATCGTCGTCGTCATCGGCCTCGGCTTCGTCGCCGTCGGTATCGTCATCATCGTCGTCGCCGCCATCGTCGTCATCATCGTCGTCGTCGACGTCGTCGTTGTTATCGTCATCGCCGTGGTCGTCGTTACCATCATCCTCGTCATCGTCATTGTCATCGTCGCTATCGTCACGGTCCTCACGTCGTAGTCGTCATCATCGTCGTCGTCATCGTCATCGTCGTCGTCGCCATCGTCGTCATCGGCATCGTCATCATTGTCGTCATACCCATCATCATTATCATCATCATCATCATCATCATCATCATCATCAGCATTGTCGTCGTCGACGTCGTCGTCATCATCGTCATCATCGTCGTCGTCACCATCACCGTCGTCGACATCGTCAGCGTCGTCATCGTCAGCGTCGTCATCGTCGTCGTCACCTTCGTCGTCGTCGTCATCGACACCATCGTCGTCGTCATCGTCGGCGTCGTCGCAATCGTCGTCGTCGTCG